AACTATATCTACGGTTGTCGCAAAAGGCATGTAAAATATAAATGAGGTGGTTTTAAATAATTTGTCATAGAATTTTTTTACGAGGAAACAACTTGTATTTTGACATGTTCTTTTAATACTTTATTTTTTATTTGAAATAGTAAGTATTTTTTGCCGTGAAATTAATTCCGGATCCTCTAGTTCAAAATCCTAGCTCCGCCACTGACTCTGCTCGCATGGTGGTTGTGAGATGGGAAGTCGTGGTTCGGCTCCTCTCATCGTGGAGTTTAAATACAAAATTTTAAATTTTTATTTTTAATATATTTTATTATGCATTCAGTCCAATTTAGATAACTACAGTCAAAATGAATAACAAAGGACAAACCATCAACAGATATTTTATTTTATCGTGTTGGCTTAGGCATATACTAAAAGGCCAACGTACATTCATACATGTTGTAGTTTTCCTTTACAATTAAAAGCTTATTATATATCTTAGCAACATACTAGTATTTCCTTTCTAGAAATTACTCAATTCATCCCAATATTAATAATGTTCTTTCTAAAACTATATATAAGAAGTAAAGTAATGATAATAAACCTAGCTGCCACCTTCTTTGAGAAATGAATTAAGGTTGATAAAAGGGCGCGGAAAAAATCAGGGGGCCAAGTCAAGGAACCTTTAAAACCATGTTCCACAAACTACCATGAGATAAAATAAAATAGAATAAAATCATTTTCTTTTTTTGCAGTTTAAATAAGGATATGGATATAGTGTTTTTCAGGTCCAATGATTGCCTGTGACAAGTTCAACTTCGATTCAAGGGATTAAATTTAAATATGTAAACTTCAATCGCTGACATTATAGAAGAAATGAAGAAAATATTTGTTTAGTCTTGATGTTTGTAGAATATGAATGAAAACAATTGTTGCATATATATTCATTGTTATTGAAAATTCAGTTAGCAGGATGCCCTCTCGTCAATTTAATGATATCCTGATCTGGACAAAGTTGGGATGGATCAAATTCATTGGATTCTGAACTAAAGGATAGGCCTTTTTTTTTTTTTTTTAATTTGAAGAAGAAACGCCCATAGTTTTTGGTCCTTTTTCATGCCATTTGTCCCTTTAGAACGTATTTTTGAGATATGGTTTGAACTGACACATATATTATTTCCTGCCTTCCTGTAACCAATAAAATGGAATCTTTCACAACGAGAATGATTAAGGTGATCTAATGCACAGTTATTTTATTTATTTATTTATTTTATATCAATGGGTAACACTTTTCCTTAACAACAAAATCTAATTATCTGACCAGAAACCAGAATTTTGTAATTACAGCGGCAAAAGAACGTTATGTCATTACAGAATTTTATACTTACAGGATTTTGGTATAACAGCTATTTAATTTTTGTTCAGTTTAATATTTTAATTGCATGAAACTAACATTCGGAGTGCGGCACATAAGACTCCTCTCATATATTTAGTAATTACAGATTCATTATAATCTACTTAAGTATTGAAATATCGGTTATCGCTCTAAAATAATCGAGATGAATACTATTAAAATTGGGAAAATAAACGTTCAGATATAACACACTCACGATATGTTGGTTGCTAGATTCATGCACTATCCGACCCAATATCCAATCCAAGTATCGGATTTGGCTAACCTAATTAATTTTATTTGCAACAGTATTAAAAACTCATACACTACAAACTTGAACGTACGTCAAACTCCCGTTAGGATCACCTCCATGCACATTCTTGAAGGTAACATGTACAGAAACACCTACATACTTGGTGTTCAAAGTTAATGCTCTCTAAACAGATGACCGCAAGTTTTTACCACTGAGACCATGGTGAAGTAGTCCTTGATTCGTAGTTTTTGTAATGTTGGTTAAATGACATGTTGTGGTTTACCTGATTGGATTATATGTTAGTTCAACTGTCACTAGAGCAAATTAACAATCAACAAACAACAAACTCCAAACATTAATTCTGCCCGCCCAAAAACTATTACCCCTTCCGTCCCAAAATTATTGTCCAGTTTAGGTTTCTAGTTTTAGTTTAAAATATACAAAAAATAAAAATCCAAACTGGATAATATTTATGAGACGGATGAAGTATATATGAAGGGAATCAAAATCGCTAACAATAATATTTACATTTGATGACATGTTTATCGTTATCAATTATTAAGTTGTCTAGGCTTACAAGTGATTCCCCTGTAACTTTTGACGTTTTTCACTCCGATGGGAATCCGATTTGAAGGAAAATGATGCATAACCTCACTCGAGTACTCAATTAGATGCTAACATAGAAATGGTTTAGTTGCTAAATTTGTTTAATTTTCCTCTTAGTGAGAAACTTAACTCTAATTCCAGATGAAGTATATAATAACATAGATACACATGGTTCCGGTTCAAACTCGCCGCAATTGGAACTAAATCAGTGTTTTCATATTACGCCACATCTGGTGATTACATTTACCAATTGAAGCATTCGACTTCACATATACGTTTTTGCGCCCCAAATAAATAAATAAAATAGAAAGACAAACTCGTGAGTTTTCGATGCATTCTTTGGATGGGTGTTAGAATAACTTCCATTTTCCAATAGGTTTGAACAAAGTTTAAGAGGTTGATTCTAAAACGAAAGAGAGTTAGTACACCCAAAAGAACACAAGAAGAGAAAATTATCCAGCCAACTAAAAAACATGAACCAAAATTTCAGAATCGCAAAAGAAAGTGAATATGAAGCCCACAGAAAGTAACTAAATGACTCACACTTGCTAATTGATTAATTAAAACTCCCCGATTCTACTACTTTGGGTTGTTTAGGTTGGAAAGCAATAAATATGTTACTTGTTTATTAAAGACATGAAGAGTGTGTCACATGATTTCTATTCTTAAGTAGTTATAAAATATGGAGTATATAATTAATACTCCTTCCGGTACTTAATACAAGGTATTTTGATTTTGTCCTATATTTCACTTACTACGTATTTTTAATTGAAGAAAAAATCTTTAAAATATATTTTTACGTACTTGTATTTTCTTGATTATTATGAAATATTTTTAAGATTTTTTTGTCAATTAAAAATATGTACTAGGTTAAACTTAGGACAAATCAAAACGCCTTATATTAAGGACCGGAGGGATTAACATTTATATGTATTATTGTTCAGTACTTAGTACCATATTACTATAGTTGTGAACTTGTGATCTATTTGTGGCTTAAAGGTCAAGTGCTTGGGCCACGGTCACTGTTATAAAAAAACAATACAAAAGTGTAGCCAATTACGCTGAATTTGTAGTTGTTTCTCATCTGGAACTAGAATACCTCCGATTTGCGGTCAGAAGTGTTGTTCTTCCAATTGCTGCAGTCTGGATCGGGAGGACTATCCGCATTTACTGAGCTTGTGATAACATCTATTGTCGCCCGGATTTCCGTCGCAGAACTTCTTCTTTTGGAGACATTTGACCACCGATTCCCAACGTCGGCCTGGTTCCACGTTCTTCTCCGGCCCATTTCCGTTCGGTTGGGGAGATCATACTCAAGAAAAACAGTAGTATCACAAATATTCCCCAGGGTGCATTGCGTTCCGCTACAGGGAAAGTCACTTGTCCTCTTTCTGGACACAGTTGTACTTGCGTTCTTGTTGTTGAACCTCGCGATGTTAGCTTTAATCCTCCCACGCAACTAATACGAGCCGCAGTTGTGATCCCGTATTATGCAACTAATACGAGCCGCAATATTTGTGATCACGTACACCAAATACTGCAGCTCGTATTAGTTGCGTTGGAGAATTAAAGCTAACATTGCGAGGTTCAACAACAAGAACACGAATACACCTGTGTCCAGAAATGGGACAACTGACTTTCCCTGTAGTGGAATGCAATGCACCCTGGCCTGGCGGGCCAAAATGAGGCTGCCGGTCATCACCGCGCCGGTGCAAATCACCAGGGAAGCTATTGTCACCGCCCTTAATATTCTTCTCGCCTGAGGTGCAGCCATAGGGATTTTTGTCTAAGAGAAAAAAGGCATTGCTTCGACATAAGTAAGAGGAATAATGATATAGAAGGCAAGGAATCTACTACGTTGTAATTTAATCAGCGAAAGGATGTAGAAGCCAAGGAAGGAGAGATTACAAAGGATTTTTGTTTTCTAGCGTCGAAGTGTTTTTATAATTTTACTTAAACGTTGTGTCAAATACCCAAAAACAAATCTTAGCCGTCACGTGTGTTCACAAAAGCTCTAAAAAACAATATCACCTGGGTAGCAAATTTGCCACTTAAATTCGCCTGATGTGACATCCTTATAGTCCTCCGCACCTTTTAACTTTTAAGGAGAAGATGAAGTGAAGAAGGCTAGCTTGAGACTTTTGAGAATTGTATTAATCCACCTGTTGTTTGCTTCTTGAAATTAGAGCAAATGCAAATGTGATAAAGAAGAGACCTGAGCTATAGTTGTACACTTCCAAGCAAATTTTTCTATCATTTCTTGTCCTATTATTCACTCAAATGTCCTTGAAGAAAGATGAATACTCCTAGAGCCCTAACAAAGGCATGCTGTCACAACTCAGAAAAATATCAAGACGGAAGGATCATTATTCATTCACAGAATTTTAAGTCTCAAGCAAATTGCAAATTGTCCATTAGCTTGAGGCAATATCTTTCGCAGACGGTGACAAATCACTTTCTACTACGGCTAAATCACACTTCTACTATGATTGCGCAACTACCTTAGAGCTCGGAAAGTTTACTTAGGGCAGAATTTGTGGATATATCAATCAAAACCAATCAGTTGCCCACACAGCTCTTGTAAAGTTGTGAATTGTGAATCGTAAAACTCTACATTAGCTTTGTTGGCACTAATTTACTTTTGCGAAATTTCCCCATTCAAAAACAGTGTATAATATGAATAGAATATTTTATATAGTTAGGCTCCTCAAAAATCCAAACTGGACAATAATTTCGGGATGGATGGACTAAGGTGTAATATACCCTAAATTTCATGCCTCTGAATTTATTCATCCAAGTCATACCATTCAAATAATGACCATTGTCCAGAAACAAAACTTCATTGAAGTTTTATGGTAAATCATTAAAAATTGTCAATTAATTATCGTAAAAATCATATAAGTTGGACTTATGTTTTCACTTAATACCTTAACTAGTGCTTACGGTTCAAATTTCGGAACTTATTGTTTGTGCAGAACAAGGTAGTGAGATGATTTCTTCTTATAGCGCATGCTGGGATCAAAGATTGGCCTATCGAAGATTTTCAAAACATGGGATATCGCTTTGATACCGAGTTTGTTAGGACACAAGTTAGCGGATTGCCTTTCGTAGCCTTAAAATATGTAAAACAGAATCACTGTCCAAATCATTCATATACAGCAAGATATGTATTTTCTGTTTTTGCTACATGAAGAAAGATCTCATTTCCTTCCGGCTTCTTCCAACTCTTTAAGCCCCCCAACTTTTTGCTCAATTTCCTCGATGAGTTCTTCACGCCACAGCTCTGCCCGAGCTTGCTCTTCTATTTCTTCTTGCTGTACCATATACATACACATTGAGAGTATCATACCATTTTCACTACTTATCTAAGCAAGTTATATATGCAGCATTATTCTCAATTTCATGAATTAAAGAGTTTATGTTGCAGCAAGTTGTTCATATCCCTAGTATTGTTCAATCATGTGTTGAAACTCTCTTGGGCGACAATTCGAATCATTAGATTTAATGCAGAGGTTGCCAGGTTGGGGATTGAAGGACAATTCTGTTCATACTAATGTCAAGTACAAAAGTCTACCTTCTGTTCTGTACATCTGATTATTTTGATACCAATAGTCAAAGTAAAATGCAAAAGTTGCGAGATCAATATGGAATGAGTCAAGACCTAAAAAGGTGAGAAATTTACCTTCTCATATACCCAATGTCCAGTGCCATCACCTCCATCTCCTCTGTACGCCTCCGAATCATAGTAGGGATCCTAAAACTTTCATGTTTAGTCATGTTTTTTCAACGAATGGAAAATAAAAAAGCAAGTGATTCCGCTAAAGCTTACTTTTGTAGCACTAAAGAAACAGCAACCCCAAACTGTGAACATTATGTAAAATGTGTCTGCAAAATTAACACAAAAAAAAAAAGTGAGCAGAGGACAAAGTAAAAAATGATCAATTTGGGGGTGTCAGAACAGAAGTAATGTAAAAAAATACTCACAAACATTCTTGATGGCTTTATCACTTAAGTGCCAAATGAATTTGTTGGTAATGAGGTCCCTTTGTCCTTCCGCATGTTCCACCATTACAGCCATCAATGGTGCCCAATCAGGGAAAGCATTTACTTTACACAGAGCAGAATTAGCCCTTTTCCCCTGAAACTATATCAATATAACAGGATTCATTAACATGGTGAAAACTGCAAATAACACTACTTTAATAAGCTCCCTCTAGTTTTGTTATCCACAGGATTGCCAATTTCTAACACGATAACACAATTTTGCACAACCCAACAATAAATAAATAAATAAATAAAATTGGATTTAGATCCTATATGATAGATAAATGATCCCACGATTATGACACGAAAACTCGAATTAAATTACAATTTTGGTGTCATATAGTAGTACTCACCACCAATTTTCTGCCATTGGTAAATACTGTTGCAGGGTCGGGCCTAAGCTGTCAATTGGATGAAAAAGTAGCTAAGGATCAAGTCAGAAAAGGATTCAAACGCAGAGTTATGATAAATAAAAGGCAAATTGCTTACTGCTTTTGTAAAGGGGCTTAAGTAGTCTGCTTTTGTTGCCTGCTGTGGACAAAAAGTGCCATGAACATGAGGCTTGATGACCGTGAAGTTCATTACTGCTTCAGCCATTATTCAAATGTTGCCTTTGTGTTTTGGATAACACATTGTGGGTGGTTTTTGTTGTTCTAGAGTAAAAGGGAGAAAAAGGGATAAGGAGTCATTTCTATCCACCCTTTTCAACTTGGAAGAAATGAGATGTTTATATTGTTTTCTTGTAAATCGGCCCAACTAGCGAGCAAGTTAGTAGTAGTAGGCTTTCTCTCTAGATTTTCAGGACTATCAACTTATTCCCCAAATGCTCACAATCATTGCTCCTCCGTTCCAAAATTATTACCTAATTTAGATTTTTACTTTTAATACAAATTAAACAAAAATTAAAAATTCAAATCGAATAATAATTTTAAAACATAAGGAATACTTATTATCCCTATAAAGTTAACTTTATCTTAACAAGATTTTGAACCATTGATCTTGTTGTACTAACAAAACCTTCCCAAATACACTACTTATGAAAAGTTCAACAATCAAAAGATACAATGAGTAGTAGACTATCCTATGAATACTGAGGATAGAGCTTGGAAATGAATGTTAGGTTTCAAACGATTGTACTCAAACGTACCAACTAAGTGACATTTAAAATGAAAAAAAAAAAAGAAAGAAGAAGAATAGAAACTCAGGAAAAAAAAAAAAAAGAAAGAAAAACCAAAACGAAATGCCGAAAAAAAAACCATAATAAGAAGACAAAGAAGAAAGAAGAAGTCTGGGCCTTTGAAACAAAATGGGAACAAAAACTTTATAAAATCAAATTGGGCTAAACACATTGAAACTATGGGCTAATTTTCTGTCAAGACCTTGGGCTAGTTTTACAGTTGTTTTTATCATTCGAACTATACTAGTTATTGGTGTCCTTTTTCGTCCCCAAATAATCGTCAAATTTTTTAATCTTTTTTGTTCCAAAAAAAAAAAATCATAAAAAAAAACGAGAGGGACAGATAACAACAAAACTTGGTTTGCGAAAATGAAGATTTTTCCGAATTTCACTTGAAGATTTATCTTGTTTTTTGTATCTATCTTTTGATATCGCACACATCATTTTTAGGAATCGTGAGTAGGAATATGGAAAGAAATTTTATCCAATTTTTTTTTTCATTTTTTATATTTCTTCTATCCTTGCAAATATTTTTACATTATAATTTGTGATTTGTAATTTTTGTTTTGTACAAATTAAAAGCTGAAATGTAGACTTTTGGGCCCGAAGGAGTACTATTTTAATTCAATGAAAAATAGATTGTTTTATTGAAGATAGAAAGAGAATTATTTTAGTATATCAAAGATCAAGCATCATTTTGTAAGAGTGGTAATATATATTTGCACGAATTAAACCATTACATTTATCTTGTTACTTTTAGATTTTAACTAGTGAGTTATGTAAAGGTACAAATGGTATTATGGTACCCAAATCGGTACAATTACAAGAAAAGAAAGAATAAAATGCTCTAATGGATCTAAAATAAAAATCCTCTAATGGATCTGAAAATCCAAAACACACAAAAAGAATTTCACATAACATATATTTCATCCAAAAATAAAAAAACCAAGAACCTTGACACATAGAGCTTTTCATTCTATTGTTCCAGATGGACGAAGCAATATTACATAATCCCTCCGTCCCATAATTATGTCCAGTTTGGGTTTTCATTTCTAGTTCAAATTGTACTAAAAGTAAAATTTTAAATTGAACAATAATTTTGGGACAGAGGGAGTATATCCTTTAATTGAGAGGGAGCATAAGGAAATTCCGACGGGATACTATAGCAACTTTCAGGAAAAAAATAATAATAATAAAGCCAATAAAATTGAGATATTAAATAAATGATTTTTCGTAAGCGAAAATTTATTACTAAACGTCGTTAGCATGATTTCCCACTAATAATTAATCATTGGGTCCTAGAAAGTGTGTCGGGACAATGTTTCCCACTAATAAACATTGTCCCGACACACTTTTTTCTAGGACCCAATAACGTCGTTTGTGGTCAAAGGCTAAGATAGACATTTTAGATGAAGGTGAATTATCCTACTACAAATGTTGATAGTTTCCCACTAATAATTAATCAACCATCTCCTCCTCCTGTTCTTGCTCAAATGCAATATCTTCCAATATCTCCTTTGATGGAAGTTGCAGATTCAAACCCTAGTTCTATCTCGTATCAAAATCTGCATGTTCCAATGAAGATGTTGGATGATTTCTTAAGATTGGTTCGAGAAAATACTGCGAGAAATCTTGAAACTGTGCTATTCTTAGCAGGATCGCTGAAAAACGGGGCATTTTGTATGACGACACTTATTGTACCGAAACAGGAGTTGACATCGGATTCGTGCCGGACATTGAATGAAGAGGAGATTTTCGAGTTTAAGACCAACATTCTCTATTTTCTACCAATTGACAATGAGGGGAGTAGCCCATGGTACTTACCAGCATATCAAATTTCTCCCATCACCAATGTGGGATACTCAACACTCCCTTACAAGTCCAACGCATCTTCTTGAGTTGGACTTGTCTATTTTTCTTCAGCCCAGTCATTGCTTCACGTCTCAGGCCTACCAGTTCTATCACATCAGGCTTGGAGTTCGACTCTTGGCGGGCTGGCTCTGATAGAAGCCCATAGGTTCCACCTCAAAACCAATTAGCAATAAGGGGAGTAACCCATGGTGTTTATATATTGATATCAAATCTCTCTCACCACTGATATGGGATACTCAATAATATTACCGGCTATTGTTATGGCTCCCAAAGATACGTCTCGTACTCATGGCATTTTCCATTTGTCTGATCCGAGCGGAGTTTCTGTCATTCGCAGTTGTCAGAAACGAGGGTTTCATCCGCATGAAGAGCCGGAAGATGGAAGCCCCATGTATGAGCACTCCTCACATGTTTATATGAACCCTAATATAAAGTTCCAAGTGGTGGATCTTCGTTAAGAAAATCTCAAATGTATCAATGTGTTTGTAGCTTTTACTTTGTTATTAAAATAAGAGTAAAATGTTCAAATAGTCCCTTATATTTGGGCTTACTTGAATTTACGTCCCTAATATTAACATTTCAATATCGTAGTTCCAAACATTTTGTTTTCAAATTTTTTTGATCCCATTTCACTGTTTCGACCATTTTTCCGTCCATCTCGATGTTGACCGGCCGTTGACATACCGGAATCAAGGATATTTTCGTCTTTTCACTTAATTTAAATTTTCATTAAAATTTAAATCATTAAAAATATTATAAAATTCGCATTTTATTATTTAATCATTAAAATATTATTTATGAATTTAAAATATTGTTATAAAATTTTAAAATTTACATTATTTTAAAATTACTTTTTTATTTACTATTGACTTTAAGTACAAAGAAAATGATAATTATTAACTTAAAATTTAATATAATTAATTTTTTAACTATCCATACTCCTCGCCTCACCCAGATCCACCTTCTCGCCGCCGCCTCCCCCCAATTCTCGTCGCCACACCATAAATCCCCAGTACCCACGGCCACTTCCCTGACTCCAAAAAATTTGAGATTTTTGCCTTGACATTCAGATCCAACATATCAAATCACTTAATATTCCAAGAACCCAACAATTCAAGAGAGATACTTTCAGTTTCGAGCCCATAAATTCAAACTTCGAAACCTCAACGATAAAATCCAAAATCCGGTTAACCCGGTTATTGTTTTGAGAGGTCAAGCTGAAGGAGCTGTGGAAGATGGTGATGGCGGAGGTGGTGGAGGAGGAAGTGGTGAAAGGAGTTACGAGCGTTACTACGACGATGGGTTCGGGTTAGGTCTCCGGCCGTTACAATCTAGTATGTCGGATTTTCTGATGGGTTCTGGATTTGAAAGATTATTGGATCAGCTCTAACAGATCGATGTCAACGAATTATCACGGCCGGAGAACCTGCCGGCGTCTAAATCGGCTATCGAATTGATGCCCACGATAGAAATCGCGTCGACCCATGTAAGTTCAGAGGCTCACTGTGCCGTCTGTAAAGAAGCATTTGAATTGGGTTCCGAAGCTCAGGAAATGCCTTCAAGCATATTTACGATTCCGACTGTATCCTTCCTGGCTATCTCTTCGTAAATCGTGTCCAGTTTTACGGCACGAAGTGCCGGCGGAGTCAACTGCCAGTTTGGATTCAGATTCAGGGGCGAGAGCCAGCCGAGTTGAGGAAACTGTTGGGCTAACAATATAGATCATCATCACTCATATCTTATTTGCAGAAGTGGAAATATCGTGCTCTACTGTTTTGATTTGTTTTAAAATATGAGTTTTTGAATTTTGAATTATTAACTATAACGTAAATATTATAAGTTACGGTGGGTTTAGGATTAAAAGTCCAATATAATTATCATTTATTTTGTACCTAAGGTGATTGGTAAATGAAAAAAATAATTTTGAAAATAATATAAATTTTATAATTTTATAATTACATTTAAATTAATAAATAATATTTTAATAATTAAATAATGAAATGTGAATTTTATAATATTTTCAATGATTTAAAATTTTAATGAAAGTTCAAATTAAGTGAAAAGACGAAAATATCCCTAATTCCGACATGTTAACGGCCGGACAACATCGAGCTGGACGGAAAAGTGGTCAAAACAGTGGAATGGGACAAAAAAAAGTTTGAAAACAAAATGTTTGGGACCACGATATTGAAATGTTAATGTTGTGGACGTAAATTCAAGTAAGCTCAAATAAAAAATGACCATTTGGATATTTTACTCTTAAAATAACTTTTTTTATAAAGGAGTGTGGAAAGAGGATTCACTCAGTCCTACCGACGTAGTTTTTCATTTGTTCTATCAATTGAGGATTAACATCCGGCCTCTAGTTCCTTCATCGTTGATCTACATCCAAAAATTCAGGAGAACAGAACATCACGTGAGATCCATTAAATGCAGTTCTAAACAATTTAACTATATGCAGTGTTCGAATTTGGTAATGGACGACATGCATCAATAACTAAAATATTTGTTGAAAGAAATATGTTTCTTGAAAGACTCTATCTGGTTCGATTTAAATTAGTCGGGAAAGTGATTTTGAATTCCTCGTCTACATATTGTAATGCATTAAAGATTACATTTTTGATGTGCAATACTAATGTTAAAATACCATATAGATGCACACCGATTTTAAGCGCTTGAGATTATACCGTTAAAGACCTTGTTGGCAACTGGCAAGTAGCATGATCTATTTTTGTAGCATTACGGCAGGAACAAGTCAAAACAAAATTACGCACAAGTTAAAAGCAAGCAAGACTAGATAGGTCGTGGTGGACAAAAGAAAAAGGGAAAAACAAGAGCAAAGTTGGGCCATAACATGGGAAATAAGAAATTTGGGCTTATCTTAAATGGCCAGCAGATGTGGGATTTAAAATCATAAGGATGTAAATTTAGCCCATTTTACCTGAAATGGGTTTACTGACAATGATTCTGGTCTAAATGTTGATTTCAGGAGCCGAATTTATATGGGTTGTGAAGTGTTACTTGATCAAAGTGCGCGTTTTTCTTTCGAGAAAATTTCAGCGTTAATTTTGTGTAAATAAATTTTAATTAAATACTTAACACGCATATGATGTTTTTATTAGTTGCTATTAATTGTAAAGATGCTTGTCCAATATATTCATTTAGTGTAATAGAAAGTAACCAAAAATGCATCATAGAGAATCCTATTCATCTTTTTTTACTTTCTTTTTTTTTTTTGGCCTTAACAATCTAGTTGAAGTACATTTAATATGTGCTCTATTTGTATTGATGGATAGACTATTACAGTTTCTTGATTAATTTGACTTTTGAGTACCCCAAAAAAAAAAATTGTTTGAATTAAACTCACTATTTATTCATCATGGAAGCCCTTTTGGGATAATAACACCGTGATCTTCCGGTAGAAATCATGCATCATGTTTGTTAATTATATTTAGTCTCTTAAGTATTGATTAGTTTGCATGTCACATAATCCAGTACATACAGGACCACTGGATACCTAAGGTCGCAGGATAAGACAGTCTTGTACACATAATGTTTAACGAGCGGCTTCACCGTCCAAACAGCTGATCGAGAGTAAAGTCTGGTCCTCTAGTTAATTATTGCCTCCATCCCAAATACGACAATCATCATTATAGGGACGAAAAAATAATTAACTATTTGTGAGTGTTTACATGTATATATCTAGGTGTTTTTCACGTTCTCATTATCTTTACTATATATTTCTAGAATTCAACAAACATTGTTAGGTGTTCTTTTTTTAAAAAAAGGCCAAACATAATGCATGTGACTTTTGAGCGTGTAATAATGTTCGTAATAATGCTAATTTTTTTGTGTGTATAAAATTTGAGTTCTCTAACAAAATAAAACGGGGAAAAAAAATAAAATAATGGAAATGACTAAAAAGTAGTAATCGAAATTAAAAAACGTCCGGGTATGGAAATTCAACACATTTATAGCTTGACATGAATTTAGCGGTGCAACTCAAACGTATTGGGACGATCAAAACATTAAATTTACCGATTGAAAAATCACTCTAAAATTACTAACTCATTCAGAATAAATTTCTCCATAAATAGGTAACCTTTAAATTAAAACACGTTTCTGGACAATTATTGAATGAGACGTCACAAATTCAATAATTGTACATTGTACTATGAAACCCTTTCATCAACAGGAAAAATTGTGGTGATAAATTATCACATGCTGAAAATCAGTAATTTTTTGACGTTTAGTCGATGGTGTTGAATCTTCTTCGTACTATTTGTCTATTTCTTTAATATATATTTATATGCAAATGTTCACGTCGTGTCCCGAATGTTATTGTCCGGCCCTTATTGTTGCATATGAACCTGCACTGCCTTCCTAACTATATTAATTTTCGCTTTCTTGAATAAAATAAAATAATACGGGGTGAGGAATTGTCGTGGAAAACGAATGATTCTCACTCTGTTTTGTTATATATTTTCTCTTTTGAAAAATGGTAATAATCATACAAATGGGTAGATGGTTGTTAGTTACTAACCTTTTAGAGTCTTGGACTTGCTTTAAAGAAGTTAAGAAACATTATATCAGTAATTTAACGCAAGGGGAGTAACGTTGAAGGCATATAGATTCTTACTACAAACAGTCTTTAAATAATAGTCTATTTTATTTTTCTTTCTTAACAAAAAAATTTTATTTTTTTTTTGGGCTAGATAGTAATCATTTTATGTAGAAATGTTCCCCCTAATGACTAATTCAATTATATGATTGATAATTTTGTACCTTGACATTGTATTGAGGTTGAATACACTTTTTGATATTCGTTCGTGAATAGTAAATTATCTTGTCAGTGAGAAAAAGCTGAATTATTATTCTCCTTTGCTCTTATTCTTTTATAAATTTTAGTAGTATTCTTAACAATGATGTATCTCTCTCGATGCACAACAATCGATTAACTTTTAGGCAAAATGGTTGCAATGATTGATTCGCGCAATTATGCAACCATACTTCTAAAAACTATGGTTTTCTTTTTTTTTTTTTTTACTGAATCGGTAATTCGAAAAGGTCTCCTTTTCACAAACAAAAATAAAAACAATACTCTTTTTGCTGTATACATGTGACTACATGATTGATATGAATGCTTAAATTAACATTAATTGTCTTTTTAGGTGAAAAGATCACTTTCGAACTAAAACAATTTGTCTGAGTTGACGCGTGACACGTTACATATTATCAATCTTCAGATTTTCTTTTTTTTCTTCAGGAATAGAGTTACACATCTACACGAATTATTCTAAAAGCTGAAATTGTTTTCACACCAGAAAACGTATTAGAATAGCATTTTTTTAATTTTATACTTCCGATGTCATAAAATTATTGCCTATTTTGAATTTTTAATTCAATTTGTATTAAAAATAAAAATCCAAATTAGACAATTATTTCGAGACGGAGAGAGTATTATAAATTTTACAACTATGAATAAGTTTTTCAGTACAGTTAAGTGATAATTCAAAACTAAAATAACTGACTTTCGCAATAAAATTTACTTACGAGTTATTCCCTTCGGTCCTTAATACAAGGCATTTTTATTTTGTCCTAAGTTTCACCTAGTACGTATTTTTAATTGACAAAAAAATCTCAAAAATATATTTTCATATTCGTTGTATTCTCTCGATTGTTATGAAATATTCTTAAGGTTTTTTTATCAATTAAAAATACGTATTAAGTTAGACCTAGGACAAATCAAAATGCCTTATATTAAGGATCGGAGGGAGACTATTTCAAAAATAATAGAAAATACAAACAATTATACAATCACATAAAAGTATTGTGTGCATCATTGTTCTTCTTTCGGATCTCTTAAAGTGTTTATCACTATCATTATTAAATTTCGATTAAAAAAAAACTATCATTGTTAAATCAATAAGAGTCGAAGTATTTGATTTCATGTTGGAATGGTTTCACGTTTATGATTATACCTAAGGGTCACATACCATGATGAGGATGTGCAGGCACAATGTTATTAGTCACGCAAAATCATCGATCAGATTGAGTAATAAAAAAAAATTATCCATATTTTCGAATTGAACTGCAAAGCCTAAGTAAATGTTTACTTAAAGAAGATTCATCTTAGGCCTAACCAGTGCCGCAAGCGTGGCAATCATACACAATGGATGACGAATGACTTCATTTTCAGTCAGTGTGACTATTATATAAAGTATTCCCCACATCGTACTAAATTTAATGCCAGTCAATTTCATGGCGAGATTTTTTGTCTCGCAAAAGAAGATTAATTATGTTAACCCCAATTTTAGAGATTAATTATGAGTTATTTATTGTTGACGCGTATGATACTTCAATAATTGTTGCTTTCATACTGTTAAATGTCTTCGAAGAGAGAGTACCAAGTGTCCACATTTCACTGTAATTCTATTTTTTATGCACCAAAGTCGAATTCAAAATTTCACTTGTGTACTTTTGCTCATGCTCTTTCAATTTCCGGCTTTCAGAATTATCAAACTCTTAGCCACAAAACTCGTATTTCCATTTTTTCAGCATTGATTGTAGCCGGTACGACAAATTAATAATTTTAATTAATAATTTTTCCAAAGAAAAATGTCATTTCATATCACGAATCTCCTATAAATACACCTAGTGTTTCCAAATGCAAACCATTCAAAGCAGCAAATCAAAAGAATATAATCTGTTTTGAAACTAGAGGGTTAATTTAGTCCTCATCCAAAATGAAATACTCAAACATCATGAGATTTGTGGTGATGTACTTGGCAATGGTGATTACCATTTCACCATTGGCAATCATCTCCGTCCCCGACTCGAGTCCCTCCGCCGTTGAGAGGTGGTTCCGGCGGCTTCCAAATGCAAGTGAAAAGCTAACAAAGCTTCACTTCTACTTCCAAGACCAAGTCTCCGGCCCAAACCCTACCGCCGTGGAAGTTGCCCGCGCTTCCATCACCGCCTCCTCCCCACACGTTTTCGGCCTCGTCAGGGTTTTCGACGACCCTTTAACCGTAACCGGAAGCCCTTCCTCAAAGACCATCGGTTACGGCCAGGGGATCTACGCCGGCGCGTCGCAACACGACACCAGCCTGCTTTTCACCTTCAACTTTTACTTTACCGACGGCAAGTACGACGGCAGCACTCTCAGTATCCAAGGACGCAACCCGCTCGGAAACACGTACCGGGAAATGTCGGTCGTCGGTGGTTCAGGGATTTTCCGGCTGGCCAGAGGAATCGCCGTCGGGTCGACTTACTGGGCTAACGCCACCACTCAAGATGGTATCGTTGAGTTCACTGTTTATGTCCTCCATTATGATTCTCCTGCTGTTTCCGATGAGGGATACGTCGAGGACATGTAAAAAAATCCCGATGACGGTACTCTTCTTTCCGATTGCTTTGTTTGAGTTTCTCCGGCAATCTGGTTGTTGTTGGTTTTGGTGTTTTGGCGCTGTTGTGGAAAATAAGCTGCCAATGTTTCTTTATTGGCAGTAAAATAATGTTGTAGTAGCCTTTAAGGTGAATTTTCCACTTCAATTTCAGTGAAAGCTCTATACATCGTACGTGCATGGCAACTAACAGTGCATAATTAAAATACGTACGTTTCTTTTAATAATTTTATATTTCAAAATTCGAACTCTTAACTTACAAAGTCACGGCGGTTTCTTTAGACATTAGCCTCCTTCATTGTAAAAAAATAATAATAATAAAAAATTAATCCGTATCTTAGTGACTTTTCAATTATGTGAAAGTGAGTCTCTCTGTAAAGTTCAGTCCCAAATAACTAAAGTCACATAGTATTCTCAGTGTTTGTTGGTGTATACTTAATGGCAGGGAATTATGTAGGCAGCTTTCTTAATATTATGATCAAATCTAATCTAATTTCTAAACAAGTCATGTTTAAAAAAATAAATAAATAATGAACCGGCCGGTTTAATGAAGTGTGGACTTTCGTTTCGTTCTATGTTTCGTGCTTTTGTTCTTCAGATATGTTTTAAGATGGACCATATCATAAATGACGTGTGGTAATTAACACCAACTACACTATTTTATTTTACTTGCTAAATCAATTTTAGAGAAGTCAACTTGCCATCGAAAATTCAAACCCCAAGGCTTCTTTTTATGATAAAGTTCGAGTTCACCCTTAAAAGTCAAAATTTTTTTACCTCATTCTTTTGTATTCGGAATGGAATTTTAGTGGTAAAGTGGTAGTAATTAATTTGAAGCATACAAACAACTTTGCAGAGAAATATGGTTGGAAAGAGCTGGAGAGCTTAGTTTACTTAAGTCCACCACAATGAAGTTCTTTTGGACAAAATTTCTAGCAAAAACCACCAGTGGCAGAATCAGCCTGGAGGGAGCTAGAACATGTTATATTTAATCAATTAATAAAGACATCATGAATTTCTTCCACATTTGCTGAACAAATAAAAATGCTTAACTAAAAAAACTGCGCGCCATGAAATTCTTTTATTAATAAAAATGGTTAACTAAAAAAAAAAAAACCGCCATGAAGTTCTTTATAACTTAGTTCAAAAGTGGTGCTGAAGAGCAGGCGTGGAAAGATGTCTAAGCGACTATTTTGCCTTGGCAAATAGATAAAGAAAAAACTATATAGGTTAAAACTATACTAGTATTCAAAAAATGCGTTTCATATTTTAATTTCTTTTTAGTACAAAGAAGGAGGTTATGATCTGACATGCACAAAACGTTGTTTTAATTTTTAAATAAAAATATACAGTTAACAACAGACAACGAATAGGGTTCGTTGGACTGGGAGTGATTTGGACTCTTTTTTGGGCAAATTTATGTTTGAAGTTGAAGTTGAACTAAAAAGGCTAAGCCCAACCAAGTCAAAAAGGAAGTCTCATTTTTAATTAAAATATCCAGTTTTATAGTGAACTTTTAGAAAGCAAAAAACACTCTCAGCCCATGTGAAAAGGAGTCTCCTTCTTCCTTGTAAGCGTTAAAGCCCCAGAAGCAAGCATTTTCCGGGGGGCTGCAGAGGCGGCGGAATCACCAAGAGTGTCAACCGGAGACACTCTCAACGCATTCTCTCTTCTTTTTTAATCGGACCGGGGCTGGAGAGACCGATCCCTTACTTTGGTCTGCCCTTGAAAAAAAATTATCAATTTCTTTCCTGATCGAAATAGAACGTCTTACCGCAACAAACAAAACTCTTAATTCAGAACCGAAAGAGTATCATGACGTGATTTTGAGATAACACGAAAAATTGATATATCATCTAACAATATTAGGTCATGCATGGGACAATGGATGATTATTATAGCCCGTGTACACATCAAGGATCGAATCTAATGTCTATAAATATATTATTATTGTCTCCGTATCTATGAGAAATAAATCTGAAGAAAAAATTAGTTTTAATAATTTATCCTTCATAAATAAGACCCACGGGAACGTATCAGTCGTGAAGTCAGCTCGATAATGCAAAACTCGTTCTATGTTTTGGCTAGGAAAATATTCTTTCATGGCCCCCGGCAAAAAAAAAAAAAAAAGGAATTTTCGAAAAAATTATGGGTTTGTTTATCAGGCTGTCACAAATGTAAAACGACCCGGTGGATCGATGGTGAAGTTTCGTCCACTAGTCAACAATTAATAAATAAAATTAATCAATTGGTGGGTATGTTTCCTGTATATAAAGGTGTTTTTCACGTGGATATTATATGTATTTCCTTTTCCAAATTTTTAATTCCCAACCAACACGTACTCTTGGCTTGGGTATACTTTTTTAAAAAGGAGTATACAAATGCGTGCGATTTGTGAGCTTCAAGTGAGTTGGTTCATTTTACCCTAAAACTCAAAGTTAGATTCTCTCTACTCCAAAATAAAACTCAAATTTATAAAATCATCCAAATTATATGATTCTTATTTTAATTGGAATCGATTGTATAGCTAACCATTCCCATCAACCCCCCAACAACTATTTTTGAAATAGTTCCCATTCAACTTAGGTCTGTTTCATAATAATTAGTGCTTAATTCTAGATACTTAACATTGAATTACAAATACTAAATTCATTAAATAATTACAGAATAAATAATAAACTAAAATTATTGCTAATATTTTATATTACAGTTTCAACGCTACCTAATTCATTAACAGGTTCATATTTCATTATCAAATATGTTGAAATGAAAAAATCAATGATTAATCAAATAATTTTAAGTATTAAGTAGCGTTATTAAACAAACCCCTTAGTACAAATAAGAACATCATTGTGCATGAAACGTTTTTTGAGCCATGACTTACGGTAATATATTCTTTGTAATACATTAGAAATATATATGCTGTCTCGTTTTCAGTTGAACTAAAAACTATAATAAGTAATCTTGGCGAACCTTTAAACAAATAAAAGAATACATACATGTGAAATGTGATTATCGGGATTAATCTTCAGAATGTTACTCCCACGTCAATACCATCAAGAAGGTATAAATAAAAAAAAATTAAATATTTTAAAATTATACTCTTTTTATTTCCAAAAAACAGTACACATTTTCTTAGACTTTTATTGAAAAATTAGTGCAAATCTCCAAACTGCAGTATAACAAAACCAAAGCAAGTGAAATTGAACCATCGATTCTTTGTATACATGAACCGGGATTGATGTCCTACCATTGTACGTAGATGATCTGTCTCTATCTCCTTTTATTATATATATATATATATATATATGTTTCTGAAGAAATCTTCCTTCCAACATAATTTTCTTTTTTCCTTTGATAAAAACTCCATCTAAAATTACTATCATCATTGAAAAAAAAAAACGGCCTCAACAAAAATAAAAAATAAAAATAAAAACCAACTAGAAAAAGTTTCTTCATCATCAGAAGGTAATGTACTACCAAAGGTGATGTGGCAACACGTATCCTGACAATAATTGAATGAGACATCGCAAAATGTCATCGTGATTTCAATAATGGTGCGTACTACTAAAATTTTCAACCAGGAACCATGGTTGAATTACGAATCCTGAGCTTCTCAATGAAAGTTTTTTTCAGTGTTTTCTTCGTCTAAAATTTTAAAATATTTGTTATGAATGTAAAGAAGTATCTTGAAATGGTAAATATATTAATAATAAAAAAATGAAGAAAAAACTATAAAAAAATGATTCAAACAAACCCTAAATAACGTGCTGAAAATCAATATCTTGATGTGAGTCAGAGGATATGGTGTGTCACTTAAATCTTGGTACGAATTTCTTTGGTGCAAATGTTCACATCGTGTCTCCAAATTATATTGTCGGGCCCTTTTAAAATATATTTGTACTAGCTTTCTGACTATGTATCTTGAATCATCTATTTGTGAGATATGGATAAATGTAGCGGAATTATGCCATTCACCTAACTAAGTACTTTAACTTTCAATGTTTACAAGTGTTGCTTGATTTAGAATACACATACTGGCAACAACGATCCAAACATTTATGGAATATACAAGGTGAGCGAAATATCAAATTTTTTCATAGATGGGCAACTATTAGGCAAGGAGGAAATCGCATTAATGGAATTAAAAACAATCGAGGAGTATGGACCTTTCAAGAAGAAGAAATTAGAGAGGTTATGCTCCATCATTTTCAATCCCTATACGCAATAATCATCCATACTCAAATGACTACCCATAGATTTTCTCCTTTGATGGCCTTATTGACCACATTAACCTATCATTAACAGAAGAACAAATATCATTATTACAAACTCCTTTCTCCTCAGACGAAATTACGCAATAAATCAAGAAAATGGCCCCTTGGAAATCCCCGGACCTGATGGTATTCCAGCGGGTTTTTATTAAAAGTATTGAGACACTGTTGGTAATACAGTCTTCGCATCAGTACAAGATTTTTTCAATTATGGCATTATGCCGAAAGGCTGGAATGACACAAATATCATCCTCTTACCGAAGAATCCAGCACCGAAAACACCACATGATTACCGGCCGATCAGTTTAAGCAACATAAAGTACAAAATAATAGCAAAGACTATGGCGAATAGAGTCAAACAGGTCATACACTCCATTATCAACGAAACACAGAACGAGTTCATAACTGGAAGATATATAGGGGAGAATGTGCTGATCACCCACGAAATTCTACATCATATCAGAACTTACAAGACGGCAAAAAAGGGATTAGCGGCAATCAAAATCGATATGCACAAAGCTTTTGATAGAGTATCATGGACTTTTCTCCGAGCTGTATTACACAAAATGAATTTTCCATTAAACTGGATTTCATACATTATGCAGTGTTTAACAACGGTTAAATACTCAATTTCCATTGATGGATGGTTCTCTGACAAATTTACGCCAAGGAGAGGAGTCAGACAGGGTTGCCCATTGTTTTCTTATCTGTTTCTAATTTGCCAACAAGCATTCTCCTCTGTTCTAAATCATCAAGAAAGAACGTAGAAGCACTTCAGATTAGTTCATAATTATGCAAAAATGTGTAATCAACTGTCTGTACCATTTTCTGTTTCTTAATAATATCCCTTTTATGTTTGTTATAAAAAAAAAAAAAGTCATCATCATCGAATCACTAACTAATTCAATTTTATGAGGTGATAATTTTATCTATATAGACCTTGTCGTTTTTGAATTAATGTGGCTGAAAACACTAACATATATTTCGATCATAAGGATATGTTCCTTCATAATTGGTTAAATATTTGACAATCGGTTATTATTCCTTAATCTACTCGTGTTAATCGACTATTATCACCTCTTTTGCCATTCCATTAGTTTTTCTCCTTAAAAGATCGATCCTGCAAATTTTTGATAGTGTCGAAATGCGACTTCATGGTTTGGTTGCACGTTGATCTCGATGCAAAGCATTTCTCAAGAAGAATGTCAAATCAATCAAGAAAAGAATTATTTTCTAGAATCGCCTAGCTTGTTGTAGTTTTAGTGCTAAAGATACTTTCTGATCAGCTATGAATTTTCTGCCTCAAGAACCATACAGTTTACGACAATGAATTTGATGGGGTGAGTCAATTCGGAAAAAGGATTGTGGTCCATTCCACTATAAAACAGCAATTCAGACGAATTTCAATGGTAATAAGAATTTATTATGCAGAAAAATAAAATAAAAAATAAAAAAAACAATGAAAAAAAAATCGTCAGTATCGTGGTGAAAGATAATCCAATCAAATGGTCTCATTTTCACAAAATATAAAAATGATTTACTAGGATCACAAATTCACAGTCCAGAACCCTCTGTTTTGCTTTATGTATGGCTGCATGATTGGTCTGGAACTTAAAAATTATTATTATCTTTTTCAGGCGTAAAGTCAAAACACTGTTTCACTTTCTAATAAATGCAAATTGTTAATAGTTAAACGTGTAACACACAATATACATTATGAACCAGAACAAAAAAATAGTAGTTCATCAACAGGATTCATCAACTATTCCAAAGTGATGTGTTTTCATCCCCATAAAAGTTCGCATTTTCTTTTATCCTATTTTTCATCGGTTTTGGTCACATTGTCTCCAAATAATTGTCTATGTCAAATTTTATTTTATTTTATAATATTATTTGTACAAAAATAAAATATCAAAACTGAACAATCATTTCGAACTGAGAAAAACATATTCGAAAATGTAATTACTATTGTTACTCAACGTCATAATTATACACATACTTATACAGAGTTATTTATTTTTTTCTCACTCTTTAATCGCAACAATCAATAATCACTATAAGACAGAATTATTTACCATAATTGTAACTAGCTTTCAAAATATGATAATATGTGGCACATATTCTCTCTGTCTCAAAATTATTGTCTAATTTATATTTTTACGTTTAATACAATTTAAATAAAAAAATAAAAATTTAAGCTCGACAGTAATTTCGAGACAGGAGAAGTATGCTATTAGTCACACATATACAATGAACAAACCTTTTTTTTCACTCATAAAAAGCAAACTCGAGATAGTCCACATGATTAACTCTGTCTCAAATAGTCCACATGAGAAATTTTCCAAAACTCAGAGAACTTCTTTTTTTTCTTTTAAAGGACAAATGAGTCAGAAGATTAAAATAAAATAAAATAAATAAATGTGTATCACGCCCATAGTGTCACTTTAGAAAATATCCTCAAAAGAGAAGGTCATTTTACACCACAAAACTCCTATAAATATGTGTCCTTTCTCAGTGTCAATTCACAGAACAGTTAACAAAAAACACGTTAAATTGTCAAAAAAGAGACTGAAACCCAAAAAGAAAAAACTATGGGAATCATAAAATTTGTGGTGATGTACTTGGCAATGGTGATCACCATTTCACCATTGGCAGTGATTTCCGTTCCGAATTCAAGCCCAGCGGCCGTCGAGAGCTGGTTCAAGAGCCTCCCAAATGCAAGGGAGAAGTTAACAAAGCTCCACTTCTACTTCCAAGACCAAGTCTCCGGCCCGAACCCTTCCGCCGTGGAAGTGGCCCGGTCCAAACTCACCGCCTCCTCCCCACACTTTTTCGGCCTGACCCGGGTTTTCGACGATCCCTTGACTGTATCCGGAAGCCCTTCCTCGAAGGCCATCGGTTACGGGCAAGGGATCTACTCCTGCGCGTCCCAGCACGACACCAGTTTGCTTTTCACCTTTAACTTTTACTTCACCGACGGTAAATACGACGGCAGCACTCTCAGCCTTCAGGGTCGCAACCCTCTGGGAGTTAAGTACCGGGAAATGTCCGTCGTCGGAGGTTCGGGTGTTTTCCGGCTGGCCAGAGGGATCGCCGTCGCGTCGACTTACTGGGCTAATGCAACAACTCAAGATGGTATTGTGGAGTTCACTGTTTACGTCCTGCATTATGATTCTCCTGCCGTTTCCGATGAGGGTTCCGTGGAGGACATGTAAAAACAGATCATTTTCTAGTTGTTTTTTTTCTCTGATTTTCCGATGATTGTTTTCTTTTGTTACTGTTTAACCGGCAATCATCTTTCTTCATGGTGTAATTTGTGTAGTTTAATTTGTAGTGTTCTGCTTTTTGTTCGGAATAAGCTGCCACTTGTTGTTGTTTGGCAGTAATTTGTGTTTTTGTTAAGCGGACTCTACAATTTCCATGCAATTAATAAAATGCTGTACTTTAAGTTGTGTTTTTTGCCTATACCTTATCTTATCAGCTTTGGAAATCTTTGTAGTTTCATTATCATTGGTCGAGTGTCAATTCATTATAATTGTTTAAATTATCTTCCTCTTACTCAAATCGTTCCAAATAAAAGTCATATGATAAATTGGAAATATACGACGAATGATAGTCTAATTTTTTAAGTTTGAGATGGATGCATGAGTGAGTCGAAGTCTGCCATTGACCAAAAATCTAGACACGTGAACTTTGTCAATGATCTAAGCTACGTACGTACTGTTTGAATGTCCAACCTTTCACATCAAAAAATCAAAGTAATGCATATTCTAGATCCAATGCTTAAAGTTCTAGACCGGCGGTGATTCAGCTTTGCACTGCACATTTAATTGCTTAACCCTCTAAGGATCTAACATGATGAACCACGCGCGATGATAATACTCTTCCCTAGTCAAAAACTAGGTTTGAAGTTTACAATAAAAAGATATAAATAAACATAGCTCCTACTACTATTTTCCAAGAAAATTACATCTGCCTAGCTACTTTGATTCATTTCTGACTATACATTCAATTATTGAACTACTGTGCTACATATGTCTCTTTTTAAAATTAAGATTAATACAAGGACTTCGCTCAGACACTTGCAATGTCTGAACTACTCGAGTGTCAAGACTTCTTTTTTTTTTTGATAGTCATCCCTCATGGCTACGTTACATAAAAACCTACAAACAAAAGTCTTGACACTCTAATAGTCTAGTTGCATATATAGGTTACATTATACAATTTTTTTTTATAATAATAACTAATATCTCTTTTTAAAATATATAAACATCTCAATCGTTAAGAATGCTGGATGGTTGTTATATTTTTATAATGAAATTAATATTTAATTAAGGATGGATGAGTGACTATTACTCAATCATAACAATGTATCTTGGATTTTGTTGATTGTAGCAAATTTCAATCATGGACATCCATACCACCATGTTATTACGTTTCAGTGACATATCTTCGTCTACATACCAATACCTTCATGACACCCATAACGTTACTGCGCCACAAGAAGTGTTTCTTGAAGTACTTATCCTTATAAATTTTGATGTTTTAAAGTAAACTCATGGTAACTCATTGTAGTCAATGCTAAAATTTTTGTTATAGTCTTATAGATTGCAGGTTTTTTTTTTGGAAAAAAAAAACGAAAAAGAAAGGATTAGCGGTTTGAGATTTCATCATCATTACAATTATGTACCCTTATCAGCAAATTCGTAGTTCTCTCCACCTTGCTGATTAACGCTGCGAGATTTGTACTTCTTGTTTACATATTTTTCTTTTTTTTTTGTTTAGATTAGTATAATTTCATTGTAAAATTTGTAACAATTTATCAATTGAAGGAGGTTTTCTCAGCATTTGAGGCGCCGTTTTGAGGTAGATTCACATCTTAACTGTGATCAATATGCATGGGTACACATTGGTTGCCTTTGTGACGTGAGAAGATTATCATTTATATTGTTATTTTTAAAAAAATCAATGATGCCTAATTTAATCTCTACACACGTAATAATACATTTTAGAATAACATATTCCAAAAACATCATGATCAAATCCCATTGTTACACCAACAGGTGAATTTAGTAGTTCTTTTTTTTTTTTTTTGAGAAAAGAAAAGGTTTCGTATTAAGCTTGTTAGGAAATATCCAGCGGCGATTGATAAAATGGGGTGGTTCAGACCATATTTCAAACGAAGAACTAATTTTTTTTGCATAAAAAGCTACTTTATGAGGTACAGTATTCTCAGTTCGTCTTTAGTAGTTATTCTCCGTCTTTGCTAATAATATATTATTATATCTGTCCTGACAAAATAGTTTAAATTGAGTTTTGAAATTTGTATTATTTTTAGTAGAAATCTCAAAACTCAAAGTGGATTATTTTTCTGCGATGGAGAGAGTAGTAAAAACACCCGATATTCACATCAAATTGATTAGTATTAGATTAGATTTAAAATTCGAGGCAAACCCAAAAAATCTTGTGGACAAATAGAGTGGTTACTAATGTTAACATTTACCTACTTCGTGTCTATAGCAACCGAAGAAAACAACAATGAGCCTAAAAGAAGTTGATACGAATTTCCTTTGACCACTACTAATACGAACACTGTGTATGCATCTTGTCACATTTCTCTCTTCGGTGAACACAAATTGAGAAAAATAGGAATACCGCAACTGAATTTTATTTAAATTGTACTAAAAGAAAAATGGAAAAAGAAAAATGGGAACCGCAACTGAATTTAATTTAAATTATAATTCAAAAGAAAAATAAATTTTTTTTTCACATTCCAATACACTAAGATTCGGTTAGAATGCATGGTTCCTGAAGCTAGAACTTAGACTTCTACGACTGTAACATTGAAAGTCCTTGTCGAAACTCGAAAGCTGGTGAGCTACCAAACCGAACAAAAGATTACAAGAGAATATGGTGAATGATAAAATCATTTTGTCTATGATAAAATAATTCCGTCAATCATCTATATCGGGTCAAAAATCTGGCGCAGGAAATTATAAAAATTCCAAGAAAAACCGCATATCCTAATTTGTTAAACAGAACGTATTCTAAACTCGATATTTCTCTTCATTTGTTTAACCGCATTATTTTTGGGTATTTCATTTGTTAAAACTCCATATTTCTATCACTTATTCCTGGTAAAAGTCACACTCATTTTATTATTGTGAGATTTCTTTTCGTGTTTCTGCTTTCCAATCGAGACGAGTATTACCTCCTCTCTTAAAAAAAACAAAAAAAAAAAAAAACACACACCCCTTGTATGATAGCAAGAACAGCACAATAAACTCATTTCTTTTCCTTAGACGGATGGATTAGTAAAATGAGTGCTAATATGCCTTGATCAATCAGAAAATCCATTTCATTGAAGCAATGTGCATTTTAACCCAAATGTGTGGTTAAAAAATATCCAAGATAATAATAATAATAATTAAATAAATAAAATTGGTGGAAAGTTGTTTTGATGAACTCCATGTAGAAGTAGAACTTTTTTAAAAAATAAAAAATAAAAAATAAAAAAAAAATCGTAAGCTTTTAAATTTTGATCATTGATTGCCACCAGCAATAATGGTGGTTAGTGGGGGGTGTAACTGGTGGTGATCAGAAAGGAGCCGGTACTGGTCTGAAAATTGATAACGACACTAGAGGCGCCCCACAGCCCACTCTCTGTCTCTCGAATTAGATGCCGTATTACCTTTATTGCTGATTTAATGCCCGGCAGGCCCAGCAAGGCAGCTTCAAATGCTACTACCCTTTTACCCCATTAAAGCAGAAGACATGAAACTTATGTGGCAACTATGTACGTATCTGTTTTGGCTCTAATGCACCATATTTCAGATTTCAGAAGTCTTTTTGCCATGTGTAAGTCTCTTTTAATTAGAAACTATATAATTTTTTTTAAAAAAAACACATAATTTACTACAAATAAGGATCAGTTACATTTCAAATGAATGAATATATTAATTCAAATTCAAATGTTCAGTTGTACAGTTTTGCAGGCTTAATATAAACAAAAAATAAAAATACCTAAATCCAGCAATTAAGAATAATGCCTTATAAACTAATTATTTATTATTCCCTTATAACCTCATATTTATAGGTATATTTTTTTAAGCCCCAAACCATAGCATAAATGATATATACGCCAAACTAATTCCTCAAAAAAAAGTAATTCAATTAGATTTTAATAAAATAGTAATTTAGAGGAGACGCCCGGGTATTTGTCCGGGCCAAGCATCTAGTTGATTCCTTAAATATGAAACAATTAATTGATTCACCAAACGAAAAGGACACAATTTTTTTTTTAAAAAAAATAGATATGTAATGTATTTAAGGATAATACAGATAGATACTGGATATTTTGGTCGGAAATAAACAAATAGCAACAAAACAAAAGGACTATATATGACGATGATCATCTTTCTATCTTTTATTTACTTTTTTTTTTTTTTCTTTTGCAAAACCGTCTTTCCAAATACATGTGTTTTTCGTTTCCTTCACGTGGAATAATTCGGATGTTGGAGATAATATTAGTTTATTTGATTCAAATGATGATAAGAGTGTGTGTGGAAGACGAAAAAGAATTCTACAAACCACATATATATATATCCACATATATATGTGAAATGGAGAAAAAAAAAAAATTTACTACATGCCAGAAGGTTTCTGGATCGGCCATGGTTTTCTTCTTTATTTATTCGTAAATTTGTAAGAAATCAAAACATATTTAATTATGGTCCAGCCGTCCAGAAATCAAAAATGTGTCACACGTTCACATTTTCCGCGTTACTCTATGCTTCTCGACTCAAATGATGAATGCTAAAATTAGCAGATGATATTGGACTATTAAAAAATAAGATAGAAAACAAATAATATCTTGTCAACCCTTTTTCTTTTTTTAAAAAAATTATTTTTGAAAGTTTTTTTTATTGTGAACGTGTGACACATTTCTTCTTTTTTTTTTCTTTCTTTTTTTGCATTTAACATTTTTAACAAGAGTTTTTAAATTTTTTGATAAAAAACATGGTACAAAGAAAAAACGAAATCAACGCCACGAAAACAAATGAGGTTTCAACGGGATAAGACAATGAGTTAGGGTCAGCGATCACAATCATACAGTAAGAAAGAGATAAAAATAAGGAGGAGTTTTTTCTTCTTCTTTCTTTTTAATGAAATTATTAATTGGACCTTAAATTACCCTGTGAAAATGGTATCAGAACGTTAAAGAATTATTTGTAAACTAAATCCATTGATGTTCCATCGACCAAAAAAAGTACTAATACAAATAAAAAAAAAATCCCATTATGATAATCCTTTTTAGCATCAAATTGCACATCGGGCCGGTTTCAAAGCAAGGGCCAAACACAGTCAATGATGAACCCTGAAATTAAACTATACATGATCAGTAGGAATCGATCACAAGTATTGTTGAGGCATATTCACTCGAAAGTTTCGTATAAGATTGTAACGTTTCCACGTATCGAAGTGATTATAGAGTTTTTATAAGATTTGCCT